ATCATAACAATCACTCCCAAGGAGCATATATAGCCGCCGACGACGGCGGCGAGCCCCGAGAGTAAAAGACAAGGAAGTTTGACTCTACAGGTTATGGGCCAGAAATCTTAACCGTCCGCTCCTTCACCCCACCCACCACACTGGCCGACTCACCCCCCGCCGGTCCCCGTCGCAGCCAGCGCACAAACCCCGACGCCCCCGTCGTCGAACTCGTCGGTGACACACCGGTCACCGTCCAGAAGCGCGGCCCCCGAGCCCTCCGCTTCACACCCTCGCCCGCCGGCAGTCCCGCACCGGTTCCCAGCCCCACTCCAGCCGCCACCCTGCGTGTGGCCACCATGTCCACGCCGTCACCTCGTCAACCTGAAACATGGAAGCCTGTTGTCACCCCGCCTAGTCTAGCCGCTGACTTTAGCAACTACCACCAATGGACGCGCCACATTTGTCGCCTGACCAAGCATTACCTCTGCTTTGACCTCTTGACCACCGCGCCGCCGATCGACGCCGACGCCCTGACACACAGCAACCATCGCAAGCTCAACACTATCCTCGCCGCTACCGTCGATGCCTCTCTGGGAGGTTTCGTCTCAGAGGACTGCGCATGCACCACCTGGGCCCTTCTGAAGTCCATGGCACCGAATCAAGACGTCTACATCGAATCGCTGAACACCCAAGGGCTATCCCTCTACATCCATGATATCGGCCCGCAGACGTTTATCAAGACGCACCAAGATATTCGTACGACGATCCTGGCCAGTGCTCCCGCCCACCACTATGCCAAACCATCGGCATTTCTCGCCCGCATCATGCACACCATCAAAGCCGTTCCAGAACTGGAAAACCTCTTCGATCAGTTCGAGGAAGACTCCACCGTTCAGCTCACTGACGTCATGAAGCTCCTACGGAAAATCGCCAACAAAATGCAGCACCAAACCGCCGCCGCCGCCATTGGCGCTGCATCACACGATCGCTACCTCCGTTCGAGTGACCGTCGGCCGACCAACACTCACAGTGCCACCTCTGGGGTCAAGAAGTGCAAGTGGCACCCCTACGCGAAGTCACATTACACACATGAGTGCAAACACCCCGGCACCGTACACCTGCCACGACGCCCCACTCCTGACCATCGCCGCTCCCACGATCGCGACATCGATTTAGCAGCCCTGGTACAGCTTCTCGGGAACATAAACAGGGCCCCGGCGCCTGCATCTACTGCCCACGGCGACTCCGCCACCGGCTCCCTTTACCCCCCTCCAGACAGTCGCATACTATTCGACAGCGCGGCCTCGCATACTTTCGTCCCCCTGATCGACGAGAACGCACTGGTGGACTCCCAACCGTCGTCGCGGCTGGTCACGGTCGCCAACGGTGCTCGCGTGCGCGGCTCTCGCGACGGCCACGTCACGCTCCCCACTTCGCCCTACCCCCTCACCACCGGTGCCACATCGCTCCCCGGGCTATCCGACATCCTCCTATCCGGACACGCTGTCGCGAAGCGACACGACGTTATTATCCAAGGAGACTCGGTGTTCTTCACGAAGAAGCAACGGCCACCACCACCGCACATCATCCATGCCACCGGGAAGGCCGACCGCGGCGTATTCGTAATGCAGCGTCGCCGCGTGCCCAAGCAGCAATCCGCGCTCACCGCCACTATTGCACCAATCCCCGCCGCCCACTACCCCCTCCACGCCACCCTCAACCACGCCGCTCCGCAAGGCCTGCGCCGCTTGATCGCCCACTACCCCGAGCTCATTCTACGCCTACGTCGGGTCGCGCTCGCCATGCGGCCACCACACAAAGACTGTACCCCGTGCCACACTGGCAAGCAGACCAGAGCTCCGTTCCATACCGCCCTCATCACCGCCAAAGCCCCCATGGACGTTGTTTCAACAGACACCGCCGGGCCGCTCACACCCGCCGTTGAGAGTAAGGCCCGCTGGCTTCAGGTCCTCGTGGACCGCGCCACCCGTATGACAACAGCCGTTACACTCCGCAGCAAAAGTGACGCCGCCACCGCCATCCAAGCTCGTATCGCTCAATGGGAACTACAAACTGGCCGTACGCTCCGCCGCTACCACGCTGACGGCGCGAGGGTACTCGTCATACCGCGGCTCGTCAACAATCTCCGGCAGAACGGCACCATCGTCACCACCACGACGCCGCACTCGCCATCGCAAAACCCTGACGCCGAGCGAGGCATCCGTTCCATTTTCAACGCGACGCGTGCGTCGCTCGCGTCTTCGCAATTACGGCCCCAGTATTGGGCCGAGGCAGCGCTGGATGCCGTCTCAAAGATGAACTACATACCGCAACGGCAGCGCAGCGGGCTCCTCCGCCCCCCCATTGAGGCCTTCTTCGGCCAGGCGACCGACCCCGGCCATCTCCTGCCATTCGGCCAACACGGTTTCACGACCAACACGGCGCAGAAGACCAAACTCGCACCACGAGCCATCCGAGTGCGATACCTTCGCGCTCCCAACACGCACCAATACCGCGTGCAGGACGTCCACACGAACCGCATATTCGTCACACGCTCCGTCGAATTTCAACCAACTCCGTATCAGCCGCCGGATCACGCGCACCGCGCCACACACACAGGAGCCCCGCGCAATTGGAACGAAGCACGCACCCTCCCTAACGCCGACTTATGGGCCGCCGCGCACGATACCGAGCTGCACAGACACGACACCGTCCTCAAAACATGGCTATATGCCACACGCCGACCTAACGACACCCCACGGCCCTGGATTATGACCTACAAACTCAAGACGGATGAAACGGGCTCCCCGGAGAAGATGAAGGCCCGTTGCGCCATACGCGGTGACCAAATGTCCGCTGGAACGAAATACAACTCAAGCGGTACGGCATCCCACACGGCCTCCCACCCCGCTCGTCGCCTCATCGTTGCCGCTGCCGCCTCTAAAGGATATGCCATGCAAAGCTGGGACGTCCCCGGTGCGTACTCCCGCGCGCCGTCGGACCCAGCCTACCGACAGACGATGCACCAGCCGCCGCGCTTTGACGGCTCATATGCCGCACCGGGCAAGATTTGCGTCATGCAACGCGCTATGCAAGGCGCCCCGGACGCTGGCCACCTATGGGCCATCCACCGCGACAAATGCCTACACGCGTGGGGATGGACATCGGTCGACACCGAGCCCGCCGCTTTCACACACACACTCCCGAACAGCTCCGAGCGTGCACACATGCTGGCCGACACTGATGATTTCATGGTCACCGCACCATCACATGCAGACCTTGCGGCACTCTGTCTCCCGTTTACTAAGACGTGGCAAGTCACCGTCAAAAGACTCACTGGCGAGAGCCCCACAATACAACATACCGGACTAAAATTCGAGCTCACCGACGCCGGCATCGTGATGAGTAACCCCAAGCTCGTCCGCGAACTCCTCGCGCATCACCAGTTGGAATCGTGCAACCCCAGCCATACCCCGCACGAACCCGGAGCGGACATGACGGCAATCAAAGCCGACGAACCGCAGACCGACCCACGGCCGTACCGCGCTGATGTCGGCGTTCTGCGCTTCTTAGCCGACACCACCATGCCACAGATTGCCTTCATCGTGGGCGTCCTCGGTCGACATCTACACGCACCCGCTCGCCGACATGCCGACGGAGTCAAAGTCGTCCTACGATACCTCCAAGGCCGCGTCCATGACGGGGTCCTTTACCCGGGCACGCCTGACGGTACGTTGCACATCGAAGCGAGTTCGGATAGTGACTACGCAGCAGATGCAGACACACGACGCTCCGTCACCGGTGTCCTCCTTACCGCGAACGGCGCCCCGATACTGTGGACCTCTCAACGCCAAGCCACAGTGACCCTCAGTTCGACAGAGGCGGAGTATATCGCCGCCTCACGCGCCGCACGGGATATCACGTGGCTCACGAAGACCATGACACAAATGACCCTGCGCACCACTCGCCCCATTGTGCCCCTGCGCATCGACCGGAAGCCTGACGTTCGTCACGATGCCCAACCTATCCCGGCTGGCACTCCCGTCATCGCCCTCCAGGTCGACAACAAGGGCGCGATCGACATGGCACACTCCCGCGGCCCCACAAAGCGCACCAAACACATAGACGTTAAACACCACTATATACAGGAGCAGGTGGCCAACAAATCACTCACGCTGCTCCAAGTCCCCACTACGGAGCAGCTGGCGGACTTTCTCACGAAGCCCCTGCCCCGCGTCGCCTTCCTCAAGGCCAGCTCCCAGCACTGCCACTCCGCGTCGCCGAGCACACCGCGCCCACCCGCGACGCCTCTCTGCAAGAAACGAGGGGCGTGTCGCAATATAGAAAACGTCCCAAGGATGGAACGTTCCCTCCGACCGTTTCTTCCCCGCCGGCGGTCGTAATATAGAAAACCGTATCATAACAATCACTCCCAAGGAGCATATATAGCCGCCGACGACGGCGGCGAGCCCCGAGAGTAAAGACAAGGAAGCTTGACTCTACACCCGCAGAAGGGTAGCACTATATCGGAGCTGGCACTAACAAAGATGGCACTATATCGCGACCCCCCTGTACTGTATAGCCGGACCGATCACAAATCCTAATTAAAGCAGAACATTTTGAAACTGTTTGCTCGATTCGCCGAGAAAGTTTTAAAAATGGACCAAGGTTTGCCTCTGAGGTCTTCTCAGAGAGGGGCGCTTTCTGTTTCTTGCGCGACTGTAAGCTGGAATCCCGAGCGGCTTGTAACCTCAGACACTTTCCAATTTTCCCAAATTTTGAGTGTACAGCATCAATACTATGCTCATTCAAGCGACGTTCATTTTCTCCCTCTACTCTCCCACCAGACACTCTTATGCATCATCGCCGCTATCTGGCCACGCACGTGATCCATCATTTCCGCATCATCGCCTTCACCCTAAATCAAACTCGTGTGTTCCAGTCAGCCTCTGGCGTTCTCACTCGCGCGCGGCACTCTCATTACGTTGGATGTCGCAGCCACGCGTACCCTTCCCACCATGACACGGCTCACCCCACCGTTGACACTCGCCATCGGTTTGTTGTATTCCCTCTCTTTCTCCGTCTGGATCTCTTGCGTCACCGCCTTTCTCGTCGATATCGTTGTTGCTCTTACTGTCATTACTAGCCGTACTCTCAAGGTTAGCCATCGCGCACTCGTCGGCTTCTGCTCGTCCGTCTTGCGCACATGGTTTTCCGTCTTCATGGGGCATCTGGAGCACTTTGGCGGGATCACCCTCGTCATGACGGGCGATAGCTTCTGCCCGAATGAGTCCGCATTGTTGGTATGCAACCATCGCTCATGGGCAGATACCATTGTCCTATACTCACTGGCACGTCAAGTCAGAATGCATGGCGATGTCAAGTTCCTTGCCAAGCGATCCTTGCTTGTCTTTCCTATTTACGGTTTTGCCGGCTGGATTCTCGATGTCGTCATCTTCATCAAGAGGGAATCCGACAGCGCCGCACAACGCATGACAAAAGTCTTTTCAAGCCTGACGGACCCCCGTCGCGAACGAGCCCCGTATTGGCTCATTAATTATTTGGAGGGCACTCGTTTCACTCGTGCTAAACTTAGGGCCGCTCAAGATTTTGCGAAGAAACGAGACCTCAAGACTCTAGATCATGTTCTTCAACCACGGACAAAAGGGTTTATTGCCACCGTACACGCATTGCGAGGAAGTGCTAAGGCGGTTTATGATGTCACCATTGGATACCAAGAGTCCGACAAAAAGCATATGGACCCGACGTTTCCGCAAATGTATTTCACGCCTTCACTTGCAGAGCGAATAATTCATGTACATCAACGACGTATCCCTCTTGATCAAATACCGCAAGACGAAGAGGAGCTGAAGAGGTGGGTCTATAAGTTATACGAGCAAAAAGATGATTTTCTCCGCGGTTTCAGGGAGAAAGGCCATTTTGACGGAAGGCCAATGAGGTGGAATCGAATGACCTGGATGTACTGGGTTCGGTGCCAAGTAATTACCTATGGCTTATTCCTTTTCTTTTTGTACTGCGCCCTCCGACTAGTTTCTGCTGTGCGGTAAGCACCAATAGATGTCGATGCACGTATGGTTGTCAACTAATGTAGAACAGCCTCCCCTTCTCAAGCACAGATTTATTAAAGGACATTCGGCGGGAGTCAGCAGAATTCCGGCAAGGCCCCCACCAGTTTCTTTGGTCAGACGTCGAGCTGCAGCTCTGCGGAACTCAACGCTTCTCCAGTTGGCACAGATCGATCAATAATTTGCCCGCAGCCATTTCTTGCTTACTCCGCTTGATCAAGACAGTTATTCACAACTTCGAAGACATCCTCAGACAACCCTTCAGTAGCCTTAACCCTTCTCAATTCCGCTTCCATCTGATTCTGTCGTGTCTTGTCGTATTTGCGCCAGCGCGTGAAGCATCTCGCCATACGAGCCGCAACCTGAGGGTTGATGCTGTTCAGATGAATAACTTGGTCCGTAAGGAACTTATATCCGCTACCATCGGAGGGGATATGCAAGTTCATTCTTCCGTACCCTCCAATCAACGCATACACAGAATTCGGAACTGTCTCGCTGTAACACTTGTGCGCGGTCAGCCCCTTAACAATGCCCAGAACATCTTCACGGGTAGAGGTTGCCTGAATGCTCAACCATTTGTCTACTACCAGGCCGTACGATTGCCATTTTTCATAAAACTCTGAAAGTGCTACAGTCCTTTCTTCGCACTTGGCGTTGGATAGAACACCTAGCGCTGCCAGAACATCTGTCATATTTGATCCGTCACGAACGATCTTAAGGCAAAGTTCGTGGATGTCCTTCTTTTCGAGTGCCCCGAGGTACATTAATGCAATGTTTTTCAATGCGCGGGTTCCTTGGGAGGCCGGGTCCAACTTGTATTCACCAGTCTCTGCGAGACCCTCGTCAAGAATCTTCCTGAAGTCCAGTTCGAGACCAGACGCGACCTGATTGATCACGTGTTCCCTGGCTGCTCGAATACGGACGGGGTCCGCAAGTTCCATTTGCTCCGTGATGTAAGACTCAGGCGGTATCCTGAACACCTGAGCGCGCAACGCGGCATCGATATTTTTGTTGAGTAGCGTTTTCCTGAAGGCGTCGATCATAGTTTGCGGCACATCACTAAAGTCACCTTCAGACTTCACACAATCCAGGATAAATTTTAGGGAGAGAGTCTGGCCTGCATCCCATCGACTGAATTCATCCGTATCGTTACCCATGATGAACGCAAGCTCATCTGCTGAAACGCCTCCTTTACGCTCGATCTTGACAGGGGCGCTGAATTCGCGCAGCAAGGAAGGGACAGTGCCCTTTGGAACATTGTGAAGGACGAAGTCCGTGTGGGCCTCCTGAAGTATCAAGACCTTGGACTCTTCTGGAGCCTTCCCATCTCCCATATCAACAGGAACAGCATTGCCATCGGGGCCGATCAATCCCATCTTCATGGGGATCAAAGCAGCTTGTGTCGTCGGCTGTTTTTTGGTCGGGGGGATCGCTTGGTCGCATGATAGAGTCATTCTGGAAGTAGTTTCGTCGTATTTCGCATCGACCGTGATGATTGGGGTACCAGCTTGCGAATACCACCTCCTGAACACCCCGAGGTCAATCTCTGGGTTTGCATCTTGGATGGCCTGCACCCAGTCTTCGCATGTAACAGCCTTGCCGTCGTTTCGTGAAAAGTAAATATCTGTACCCTTCCTAAAACCTTCTGGACCAACCAATGTTTTCAGCATTCGAATGACCTCTGCGCCTTTGTTGTACACTGTTGCAGTATAAAAGGAGTTACAGGTGATATACGACTCTGGGCGGATTGGGTGAGCCATCGGTCCGGCGTCCTCTGCAAACTGGGCGATCCTTAAGCTAGTCACGTCTTGAATACGCTTGACCGTTGCAGAGTTCATGTCAGCTGAGAAGCTCTGGTCTCTGAACACTGTTAGCCCCTCTTTCAGCGAAAGCTGGAACCAGGAGCTCACAGTCACCCTATTCCCAGAGTAGTTGTGGAAATATTCATGTGCCACAACACCCTCAACGCCGTTGAAGTCACTATCAGTGGCTGTCTCTGGACTGACAAGCACGTATTTCGAGTTGAAGATATTGAGGGATGTGTTCTCCATGGCACCGAATACGAACGTCGGCACAGCGACAATATTGAAGATATCGTAGTTGTACTCCAGTCCGTAGGTGTCTTCGTCCCACTTCATGGCCTTCTGCAAGCTTCGCATGGCGTGGTGGCATTTCGCTACCTCACCAGCACCCTTGACATACACGCGAAGAGTAACTTTCCTACCACCCATGGTAGTAAACTCATCTTCCAGATGCGAAAGGTCACCAGCGACAAGCGCGAACAAGTAGCATGGCTTCGAGAAGGGATCAACATATTCAACCCAATGCCTAGAGGGATCGCCGGTTTCAGTACCACTAGAGATGCAGTTGCCATTGCTCAGAAGCACAGGGTACTTAACCTTGTCTGCTGAAATTCTGACTGTGAACTTGCTCATAACATCAGGCCTGTCTGGGAAGAAGGTGATCTTCCTAAAAGCCTCGGCCTCGCACTGCGTGCAGTAGTCGCCAGTGGACATGTACAAGCCATCAAGTGCGGTATTCTTCGCTGGCTTCACGGATACTTCGCTCTCAAACGTAAACGGACCTGACGGCACGGAGGCAATAGTGAGCGTTTTGGCGGCGGTATTGTATACGTATTCGGAAGGATCCAGAACACGTCCATCAACTTTCACGCTTCCGTCAAGAAGTTGCAGACCAGACCCATCGAGAATGAAGGGTGTGCCGACATCGCATTTCGGAACGACGGATAGCTTGCCCTTGATGATGGTATTTAGACCGTCATCGTCAAGCTCAAAGTTGAGGTGCGTGTCAGAGACCAAGAACTTTGGTGGGGTGTAATCCTTGAGAAACTTTTCTTTCGGCTCGTTGGAAGGCGGTGCTATTGCGGTTGTGGCGGTATTGGCACCTCCAGCAGCGCTGGCGACCGGGGCTGCGGCTTGCTCAAAAGGCATGATGCGTGAACGAATTGAGCGTGAAGCGAAGGAACGGGTGGGAACAAAAGACGATGCTGGGCGCCAACGACGAAGAACGTGAGTACTTCGGATAGGAAGCGGACGGGTAAGGCTGGCAGCTACAAAGGCAGCATTGCGGACGACGGTGTTCATTGGTACAATTGGAAAAAAAGGGCGCGTGGAGGATATCACTTCCCCGTTGACGTTCGTGCAGTCGAAAATGTCCCACGAAGGCGTGGTGAGCCAGTACTGGCTGCTTCTACTGGGCCTTAATAAGTGTACATTGGTGATCTCGACAGTCTCTCAAACTTATTATTCAGTTGAATTCTGAAGGCCGAATTACAGAAAAAAAGGACGAAAGTAAAGCGTTTACAATATATGTACCCCCCCCCCGGGCCGCCTTGATCCAAGTCAGTACTTTTTGCACTTCCACCGTTAACGATGATGCGCGACGGAAAAGCTTTTGCGAAACCTTGCCGGTGAGGCTAGGTCCCAGCGCTGCCTTAATACCGTAGGGAAAGCAAAGAGTGTGTGCAACAAAGGTAGAATAATATTTACGTGTTGCCAGATATGTACTTCACTAAAAGAGAAAGTTAGTACGCCTGGAATAAACTGCTATCGCCGCAGAGCGAGCGCATCCCAGATTCAACACACAAAATGATTCTGTTACGGGGATTCCACTAATGTATCTATCAGAACGAAGACCATGACATGCTTGGAGGTGAGCCTTCTGTAGCGCACTCGTGCAAGTGTAATGAACGTTTTCGTCCTTCCAATGCGCAATCTCACCTCATTTCATCATCTTCGTGTTGTTTGTCTGCTCTTGTGCATGCATGCTTAGCAGTTCAAGGCGCAAGCAAAATTCCAAATTACTTCCGCCACCATTGAAAACATTCCATCAACATCGAACCCAACTATGATATACACCACATACACGACATTCGTGCCGTCCTTCCCCAACATAGGACGGAGACCAATGTCTTCCCAGACAAGACGGGGTCGGCTTACCAGCCACTTCCGCCTCGATTTCCATAACCACCACCACCATACGAACCACTACCACCATATGAACCACTACCACCACTACCACCGCCACCACCACCATACCCACCTCCACCGTACCCACCACCACCATATCCACCACCTCCATACCCTCCGCCACCACCTCCGTACCCGCCGCCTCCGTACCCACCTCCGCCACCTCCAGATCGCCCACCTCCACTGCGCCCACCGCCACCTCCGCCCTCCTTACGGTAATCACGCCCACCAAACTTGTTGCCACCGTTGCGACGACGTCCACCTGAGCTGGAGACGAACCTCGACATTTCTGTCAGGAAGGGTGGGACATCCTGTCCTGCCTCACCTAGTAGTTCCACAAGGTCACGCACAATGTTCCTGTTCTTATCATTGATCAGAGCGGTGGCAAGTCCAGAGTTTCCAGCTCGCCCAGTTCGACCGATGCGGTGCACGTAGTCATCAATATCACTAGGTAAATCGAAGTTGATAACATGTGTCACGTTGGGAATATCGAGACCGCGAGCGGCAACATCAGTAGCAACCATAATGGGAGTTCTACCAGAGCGGAAGGAACGCAGCGCATCCTCGCGCTCAGTCTGCGAACGATCTCCGTGAATAGACGTGGCAGGATACTGCTGGCGAATGAGGAAGTCTTCAAGAGAATCAGCACCGCGCTTGGTCTCGACAAATACGAGCGTAAGTCCTGGGATGGTATTGAGAAGATTGAGAACCATGTCACGCTTCGATGATTCGTCGCAGTACTCCACCTTCTGCTGAATAAAGTCAGTCGTGGAACCAACACGACCAACAGCGAGGAAAATATAATCCTCAAGGAAGTCTGACGCAAGTTGCTGAATCTCTTTAGGGAATGTGGCTGAGAACATGAGGGTCTGTCGCTCGCCCTTGGCCGGGAGATAAAAGTCGTCGACAATTTGACGAATCTGGGGTTCGAAACCCATGTCAAGCATGCGATCAGCTTCATCCAGAATGAGGAAGCGAATACATTCGAGAGAAATGCGACCTCTTTCGACCATATCGACAAGTCGGCCAGGGGTGGCGACGATAAGGTCGCATCCACGATCGAGCTGACGCAATTGGTCGCGAACGTCCGCACCACCGTACACAACACGAGCAAGAATACCACTCTGGTGGCAGAACTTTTGGGCCTCCTCGTAGATTTGGCTTGCCAGTTCGCGAGTGGGTGCGAGGACTAAACCAGTCGGATAGACAATGCGACGGCGAGAACTGCGCTGGTTCGCCGGAGGTTGCGGAGGGGCTCCCATGGCGAGCATTCGGTCGATCGTGGGGACGAGGAAAGCAGCGGTCTTCCCTGAACCAGTCTGGGCACAGGCCATGAGGTCGCGACCAGCTGCAATGATCGGGATGGCGTTTTTCTGGACTGGAGTCGGGGTGGTGTACTTTGCGAGCTTAATATTCTTCAATAGCCTGACATGCAAACCCGAAGTCGGGAAGTCAGCGATAGCTACAACGCAATTGTTGCCCGACATCTCGACGGGGATATCATTGTACTTGTCAAAGTTAATACCAGTATTCATGCCATTGAAGATATCCTTATCGTCGACGTCATCCTGATTGCCGAACGGGGAGTCGTCATTACTCCAGCGGCTTTTGGTGTTGCCACTCGCTGGGCCTTTATCATCCCAAGTTCTCTGCCTAGACCCTGGGCCCGAGTCAGACCATCCACGCCCGCCGGAGCCGCCTCGAAACTGGCCTGGGGGCGGACCGCCGAAGCGATTTTGAAAGTTAGAGTGGTTAGGAACGGGACGGGATACCGGGGGTGCGGAATCGCCAGGATCGCTGTCCGCAGACTGCAGCATCTTGCTGCGAAGATGTGGGGGTACATAGCGAGAACCCGAGCGTGGGCCGTTGCCAGCGGGCGGGGCGTGCGCCCCGCCCGGGGCGGGATGCTTTGCGTCTCCGTCGATAGCTAGCTTTGCGGCAGCGGCGGTGACGTCTTCAACTCCATTTGCAGCCATGGTTATGCGGGGAAACTGTGAGGAAAAAAACAGGGAGATGGTGTTTTCGTTACGCTACGAAACAATGATAATGAAAAGAATAGGGCGAGTAAGTTGGTTGAGGCGCCGCCGTTCGGGATGTGTTACTTGTAGTCAGATTTGGAGCGGAGACTGCTGGCCGTATGGCGCGCACGGCGGCGAATGGCTTTCGGTCACGCTGGAGGCGTCTAGAGGGGGTGTGAAAAGGGCCTACTCCGTTGTGGAACGGCGGTTGGTTGTGATCTAGGGAGGAACTAGACCCTAGTCATTATTTTCGTTAATTATAGATATTTTAGGAAGAACTATAGTGTTACTTTGGTTTAACCCTTGGTTCGGGTTTTCGCGCCATTCTTTTCGAATTCGAGTGGAAATTATGAAGAGAAATAAGCAAAAAAAAAATACAGCTCCCGCAACCTTACGGCACACTGCGAAGGCACCAGTGGGAAGGCCGCTGCGAGCACGGGCTGGCTACAGCCTTTAGGCTAGCGGCGTTTTGACAGGATGGCGGATTTGGAGTGCCGCGCCGCCGGCAACGTCTGGCTGGAAGCGACCCTGACAAAGTGGGTTGCGCCTCTCTCGCGCTCTGGTTGGATGGCGTGGACAACGTTTGGTGCACAATTCTTAGTATTTGTCGTGCGTTTATTGGCTGGACCTTGTATGCTGTTCGCTTCCACTTCGCAATACCATACGGTTTGCACGTGTACAACTTGTACACGACTTATTCTCGAACCATCCAAAGCTGTACTTACACCGTTACAGAGTATTGACAATAATGCCAATGTAAGTATATATCCGTCGACACAGGCGCCAGCAATGCAGATGTGCATGATCTGCGTCTTTTGGTTTCAAAGATTCTCGGAAAATCAGGGAAAAATACGGCACTGAACTGCTCAGAAGTTCTGAAAAGAAAGAATTGCAGGTCCAATACGTGACGTATTGGACTTGCAATTCTTTCTTTTTAACTTTATTATGTATGTACATTATCGACAATATATATTGTACACTTGTAATAACCTGTGTGGGATTCTATTGCAGCGCTCCGTATTCTAACGAGCTGGAGAAAGAGAAGAATAGGTAGCGTTCCGAAAATAGCCGCCATTCCATCTACTGTCCATGCTCTTGTCGCCAAACCATTGTCGGCAAACAGTTGCCGAATCCCGTCTGAGAGGATTTCTTTCGTGTCGAAGCCGTTCATATCCTCATATACCTGTAGTCGTGTCCCCCCGTGCTTTTCATTAATGGCCCATTCCTAATCTGAATTGCAACTTGAACGCTCTTGCCAGGTTCGCCTGCCGGCGCGTCACACTTGAAAGACCTCTCCGTCTGTTCCCGCACATCTGTGCACGGCTTGCCATCAAACAACGCTATGCCTTGCTTCCCGAGACCGTCCACTGCGACGAGCACTTCATTCCTACCGCCCACGGGGCCTCGGAACGGAGACACCGAGATCAAACGTCCGTCCTTCTTGGCCACGTAATCGGGCTTCAGAGCCATAATTTCAGCTTCGTACAGACGTGGCATGAGAATATCTCCCCATGGAGTCATCTCTATTGACAGTCCGCTTCCCTCCCATAGCGATTCGATGTCATCTTCAAGCTGTCCCTTTTCATCAAGCTGCACCCGATACACGCGTCCGTTGTTGTTGGGGTCATTTGTGCTGAATTTTGACGCCAAGATATTGCTCTTCAGCTGACCGTCGAACAAGTCTGCTGTGTACTCGATGAGCCCATCTGTGGAAGACTCGAGCGTGGCAATCGGCGGCATGAAGTCTTCGGTTGCCGGTTCGAAAGGGTTTTTCCATATACACTGCTTCGGGTCATTGCGACCACGATTTCGATTCGCGTGCCCTGCATACTTGCCTTCTGTCACAATGCCTAACCGATCGTCACTATGATACGGCGATATCAGGTCGCTTTCCGTGCAGCTTGTCGATCGGTTACCAAATTCCGCGTTGGCCCCGTTGTCCGTCGCATAGATCATGCCGTTGGAGTGAAGGATCAGGTCGAAGGAATTTCTCCATCCTGGTGCATATACTGTGACATCGCCGGCGATTTGATTCGCGGTACCTGGGTCATTAGAGTCGTACACGATCGTACCATTGAAACCAGGGCTGTAAATGTCTGCAACGAGACTGGCCGCGCTGAGAGGGCTCTCGTCTATGCCTCCAATGGTCTCGTCGGGTTTTCCTGCATTTGTCGCAGCCCCAACTTGGAAATGAAGCAACCCGTCATCATCAAATACCAGATTGTTCACCCCGTGGTCATGATTGGAAACGGGTAGACCAGTGATGATAGGTGCACCATCAATCCCCAAGCAGTTACCATTAAAATTTGGTCTCAACTTTGATACCTGTCCGTTCGCCCACAGCATGTCTCCTTCAAGGTCGCTGGCGCCCCAGTAGAATATCGAGGACGACGCGTATAGAATGATCTCAGGGTCTGCAGGATTGAAAGCCAGTCCGATGACTGTTCGGAGATAACCAAAACTCTCGCTTTGACAAATGTCAGACGCTCTCAGTTCCTCGTCAATTTCCAGGGAGTAGACAAAAGAATTGAGAGATGCAAGATATAACCGGTGGTCCGGACCGTACTGGATGTTTGAAATCAACTCCAATTTGAAGGAGGTGTTATCCGCTGCTCTCACTCTGGTCTCTTCAAACTTGATTGGCGCAAGGGCATCCTCTGCGTATGTGAAGTTGAGAATATTACTCCCACCGACTGCATTCCCAATTGTGACTTCCACCGTGCCGGCCTGCTCAGCGGGCGGGACGAAGACGACGAGCAAATCCTTCGTAGACCTGTCTTGGTCAGGTTCTATAACAGTTTCTCCTCCGTTCAAGTACACGTTGGGACTGCTCCAGAAACCAGATCCGGAAATCTGAAGCATCCCACCACCAGCGAGAGTAGAGTTTGGCGGCGACAGCTCGTAAATGAGCGGCAACTGAAAAGCAACGTTATGCAAAGGCTGTGCGGGGACATCCACGAGCTTCAAGAACGCGGGTTGTTCTGCTATTCGGAGATAGATTACTGTCAGGGTATGTCTCCCAGCGGGGAGCTCTGTGACTGTGGAGGTCGTGATATTATCCCAGTCGTAGTTCTCCATGACGATCTCATGGCCGTCAGGGATATCACGTAGCATGCGGAAAGGCCCGTAATGTGCGACCGAAAAACGCGCAGACTCAGGAGCAGGCAAGTCAATGGAGAAGATGCAGCGCACTTGAAAGGCGGCTGACGAGACTTGGTCCGGAAACTCTGTCTCCCCATCAAAGTCGATTTCGGATAGTTCCTCGCCGTATACAGGCAAGAGGCCGTTGACTACATTATTCTCCAGTGTTATGGTGAAGCCGTCGGCGGCTACCTCGTTGTAGTAGTAGCAGAATATGCCTTCGCGGACAGATTCTCTTACCAACACGGTGGTGGTCTCCTCATGCGTGTTGCCAAAGTCATCAACGACCTTGAGCGCCACAGTCGTGTTGCCAAGGGGAAAGGTGAGAAATGCAGTACTAGCCTGACTCAACTCTTCTCCAGACTCCGGATCAAACCAGACCCAGCTAACGATCTGTGCCAGGACAGGCGGCGGCCCGGGGTCATAAAAGTGGGAGTGCGAGCGACTGGCATCCAGAAGAACAATCTCTTCACCGTTGCCATCAAGGTCGATGACGTCATACTCTCGGCCTGGTACAGCGTGGGCGACATGCTCGTAGCCCAACGTGTGGGTTTCATCGTCTGCTAGGTCGGCGTTGGACGAGTCCTCGTCTGTGGGGGCAGGAGATTCCGCACCGGCCTCTTCGCCGTCAGCATTGTCCGGCTGTGTGGAAATCTGAGGGCCAAGATCGTTGTCGGGGTCTTCCCCGAGCTCTGGGCCGTCGATAATTTCGCCCTCATAGGACGGCTGCGGCGGCGAGTCGGACGGGCGCGGGCCGACAAACGAGGGCGAAGGGAGCGGGGCGAGGGGTTCCGGTGGAGAGGATTCGGTGGGTTGTTCAAGTTGTGGTAGAAGAGATTCGGCGGGTTGTTCAAGGTCAGTTTGTTGCGGGTCTTCTGGAGTTAGTTGAGGGGATGATGTGAGTTGTTCTTCGGGGGCAAGCGAGGCTGAAGGGGACTGAACGACTTGGGCCGCGCCGCGCGTGGAGGAGCGAGCGACAAGGGAGACGGAGAGGGCGATGGCGATGGCGAGGATGGTCCCCGCGGCGAGGGCGAGCAACGAGGTGCGCATGGCGAAGGGAAACCGCCAGGTTGCTAGTGCAAGGCGAGCAGTGTTGGCGCGGGTGTCAGGCGAGTAAAGGTAAAGTTGCGATACGATGGGGACGCGCAAGAAGCGAAACAAGGCGCGGGCTCGTTTTGGTTGCGAGAGCACGAGAGACGAGGCGACGGGTTTTGTTGCCGGTCGGGGGGTGCGTTCACCTGAGCGAGCCGTTCGGAGGGGCTCCTTGGCCTCGGCATTGCTAAACGGGTCGCAGTGGAGCTGGGGGGGCTTGGGAATTGGGCCACGGCGCGTGGCGGTGTGTAGGGTAGAAGCACGAGAGCGGCCAATGGGCGGGCGCAGGTGGCACACGACGCGACGTGGGCACGTTGGCAGGGGCGGGAATGGGCGTGACGTTGGGGGCGCGTGGGGTTGTTAACACGGTGTTACGCCATGCGATGATTCTTCGCCCTATTTATTTTCGGCGGGTGCGGATGCGCGGGCCGCCATTGGTCCGCTGCGAGGAATGCTCCGCAGTTACTGATTTGGATTGGTCGTGAGAGAGCGCTGCTTCTGGATGGCTCAAGTCATAAAACACTAGAGTACTGCCAGAGTACTGTACCGTACCAACTTCGCAGAGGCGGTATATTTGTGACGACGCAAGTTATAGACGCGCGGCACTGCTGATGTCGGCCGCATGTGGCGTCGACGGTACAGTACCACCTGGGGCACACCGGAGGCGGTTGTCTCTCCTGGGCGCATTGCTTGCCGAGAGGCCTACAGCTGATGTCAGCTGCATTACTTGTTCACGCCCCCACGCCCTGTCAACAGGGCGTGGGGGCGGGAACAAGTGGTTCGGTGAGAGAGAGTGCGCGGGTGTAAGCGGACGGACGGGGTCTGGTGTTCGATGTACAGTAAGGGGGTTGTCGAGGGGTTTGCAGCCGGCATGTTTCCGGCGCGACAAGCGGCGGAACAGGCTCCAGCTCCTTGAGCCGTAGCTCCTTGAACCGTGGCTGACGCCGTGCATGGAAGGGCAGTACAGTAGGTGGTGCGGGTACGCTGTATAGTATCGAGTCGATACCGTACCAAGGGTACAGTACCCTTGGGTACTATCGACGCACTGTAGTGCAGTGCAGTAAACTTTACGTCTGAGGGCCGTCAGACCTGGGCGGAACGAAGAGCAGCGCGGGATAGTATCGTACCGGCACATGCGAGAATCCGTCCCGAAGAGTAGCGCGCGCAAATGGCGGGCGGTTACAAAGCCGACGGTACATCATCTGCGCGCAACGCGGCACGGCCCTTGCTTAACAGGAGATTGCTTACAAATCGAGGGAACCGTACAACTCATACTGTAAAGACTACTGTGCGATGTGGGCGACCGGCTGGCTGCAGGAAAGCTGTAATGCCCCGTTGACACGTGCGACAGCAACAGCGAGGCTGCGGTACTGTGAACCTTAAATTACATGTGGCGCGGGGAGCACTGGTGGCGGCACTGGCCAATCGCCGCGCGCGGCGCTCGGAGCGCCCCACTGGTGGAGATTGCACTGGTGCGTGCTCCACCGGTGGCGAGGAAGGGCTGGCGCGGGGTGCGGCAGGGTGATGGCGGAAAACGCGGGGCGCGGGTGAGCGCGGGGGAGAGCACAGCTGCCGCGTCGGCACCGGTGCAGGCGGGAACCCACTCCTGTACGGCCCCTTCTGTACGTGATGGGTGTCCGCGCCGGCGGGGCGGCTCGCGGCGCGCTTGTCGGACGCGCCCCTGCCCACGAGAGGTCGTTGCTGGGCGGGTGCAGGGCGAAGGAGTGAAGGGTGCGGCGGCGGTTGTGGGGTAGCCGCGGCGCAGGGAGGTTCCTCGCCGAAACTGAGGGCGACGGGGCCGAGGACACGCTCGCTCGGCGTGGTTGTCTCGGGCTGGCGGTGTCCGTGATGGAGGGGGTAACGTTGACGTCACCATGAGCAAGTCGGATGCCGTAAGACGGGTTGGTGACCGGAGGGTCACCAGACCAGCTTTCGAGGGGTTCTTGCTGGTTGTGCTGTAAATGAACTTTTTATCATACGTAGGAACCGTGATTTAAATACAATTCTCAACAATATTTTTTTTGAGCTGTTGACAGAGCAGTTGGGCACGTTGGCACACCGCGCGTGCACAAAGCGTCCTGGTTCTTACAGCGTGAGTAGCCGTGCGCGCGCGGGCTCAGCAGGCGGCTGGGCGTGCCGCTTACAGCATACATAGTAACGGCGCGCGTGTGATGGTGGGTGCTGGGGCATGCTGGGGACTGCGACAACCGCTCGATAACTGCTCGATAACCGCCGGAGCGTGACGGGGCGCGGTTTCGCTTCGTGCTGTACCAACGGTAGGTACCCGAGGGTACTGTAGCTGCGGCACGTACTGTACTAGTGTGCCTAAGGCGCCTCGCAGGGGCGAAACAGGGGCGGTGGAGCGGCGCATGGATTCCCGCACCTCTGCCCGAGACGTGGCGCCCGTTTCACGCCCCAACAGTCACGCTCCATCTTTCAAACCCTCTCGTTCGCGCTACCGTGCCGCCACTCTTCCAAGCCCCACCGCTTCGCCGCTCTCTACGGCATAGTGTCGCCCCCGCAC